CCCCCCCCCCCAGCCCCGAAAGCTTCCTCTGTTAAATATGTATTGCTTCTCTGTGAAATGGGTTGGTGTTGCAGGTCTGAAGTCATGTCAGATGTAATACCTTATATTTCAGTCTTTGCCAAAGAATGATTTTTCTCTTCTTTAGAAATCTATGGTAAAGATGGCTTTCACCATGGTACCCATGGGGGAGCGCAGTGTCCTCGAGTCTGTAGAGAGAAAGAAAGAAAACGGTAGTTTGCATTAGAGATTGCTGTATCCTCCTTGCACCTGAGAGAAAAGGATGTAAAGCTATGAATGGAACCAAACAGCTGTGATCCATATACTCCATCAGTATTACATTTTTATATGAAAACACATTAGGAACAATGTAATTGTATTAAGGCGCGTGGGTGATTTAGCAGATGCTTTAGGTCTGCTCCTAGGTAGGTGATGCACAAATCTTTTCTGAAATGCTGTTTGCCTCTAGGAATAAATGGGCCATATGAACTGTGTAATTGCTTCCCAGCCATGCTGTCAGGCAGGACCCTCCTTAGACATGGAGACATGAGGCACACCTCTTTATCTCTGACCACCTATCAACATGAATGCAGACAGGTGACACGTAAGCCTCTTGGCTGTGTGCTAAAGAGGTGGTGCTAGAAAAATACTCCTACTGGAAGTACTATCTCCAGTGCGCCCTAACTATTCCTTTAGCAGAGTTTGGGGTAAGTGGTATACTTTACTTTAAACTGATGTGCTTGAGGACTGTCTGATTAAGAGCATGTTCAGATTTCCTGACTTTTACACTGTGTGTGTACACATTTTTATTTGCAGCTCAATGCTTTTTTTTTGGGGGGGGGGCTTGTGTTTTCATTTATTCATCTCTTTGTGCCGCCTTCTTTTTTCCTTCTCCCCTCCATCAGCTCTGTAGCAGCACAGGAGTTGCATGTTTTGTGCAAGGCCGGTTCAGAAAGCATGTTCCCTGTCCCCATACTGCACAGCGGAAATCCTGCATGCCAAGCCAATTTCGTTAATTTATGTTTTAGCATTGGAGGCAAAAATACGAGCCTGTTAATGTTGATGCCTGTTAATGTGAAAGTACCTTGGGCTAGGAAATACACTGAACAAGAGCAGCACTTGCTTTGCAGAGCATCCCTTCTTGACAAGCCACAATCTGGATGTGTGTGTATGTGGAGGCTCCAGAGCTGCAGCTGTACAGGCACAGCTTAAGTGATGGCTGTGGGGGTCCTGTCAGCTATGGAAAAGGCCAGTGGAGTTTTCCCAGCACTTGCTCATAGCCCCTGTCCATCTGCACGCTAGGTGAAGGGCAAAGCCAGAGTTGAATGGGATTTAAGGAGGGGTTTGCAAAAGGCAAACCCTGGTGGGCTTGATGTGGAGCCTAAAACTGTGTTCATCAGTGAATTTTTTCAGCCAAGGAGTTCCTACTCTAAAAAACAAGATTTGGGAATGATCATTCTAAAATGAATTCAGATTTTTTTTCTTCTGGTAACCTGATGAATTCTAATTGTATCATCAGTTTTTCTCTGAGTCTTCCTTTTCTACCTCCTACTCTCCTGATATACAAGGTACAGAAATGTGGAAGGAAAGACTGAAACATGGGAAGCTATAAAGCCTAATTAAAAAAAAAAGCAAAATTAGAAGGAAAAAATGGGATGGGTTTTTAGTAGCAGGGCCATGACTTAGAAACTCCACAGCAGTTTTCACTATGAATATACTGTGCTGTGAATTTATTCTTATTTCTGTTATGTGGAGCTGGATGTGTCTGGGCAGTAGGACTGCAGGTCTCGAAGTAGAGGGTGGAGATCACTTTTTAAATATTTGTACAGGGAGGAGGACAAGGCTTGAAACTGCTATGAAAATAGCTCTTTGCATGTCTGCAAGGATAGGTTAACTGTGCAGGGTTTCACAAGAACCACTCCCTAGAGATATCTGAATAATAGATTGACATTATGGGGTGCAGTGAAAGGTGTGTGCATTTCAAAAGCCTAAGGAGAAAATTTCCTTCTCAAGCAAATCCTTTAGAAGGCATTTTTGTGCCCTTCTGTGAAGGGCCTCTAGTCCTCCATCAGTCATTTGCAAATTATATTTGTTACCAGCCATATGGAGAATTGAGGTTTAAGTGGTCCAAATGATGTGGCATGTTTGTCCAAACAGGTACTCTACAAATCATATATGACACTAGGAATACCTTTAGGTTTACTTCCCCAAGGTCTAACCTTGACTGTTCTGTTTTAACCAGGGCTTTCATCCAGCTCTGTCCAATGGAAGGGTGCAGCTGAACCATGACAGTTTCTTACAGCTCCAAGTAAGAGCTGTAGCGCCCTTTCTTCCTCTGTAAGGTCTTGCACAGGGCGTGTGATAAATTAGCTTTCTTACAACATAAATTAGCAGTGATTAGGAGGCACTGTCATTTGTATCTGTTACTGAAAGTATGTTCTATGTAACTAGCTAACAAAATACCAGCAAGACAAGGCAAATACTTCTGCACAGGTGGGGTAGCATAGTAAAAGATATGAAGCTAGCTTGTCTTTGTATAATATACTGGCCCTAAGATTTGCATTTAAGCCTTTTTATGCAACAATTAATTTAGGGGTATTGAAGCTGAAAGAACATGTACTTGAGTAGAGGGGGAGCTTATACAGCCTTTTGTCCTTGGAGAACATATGAAGGCAAGAGAAACACCATATAAAAGTTGAAGTCTAAATCCAATCCAGTCTTTAGCAAAAACCTCCTTGCTTGCTTTTTAAAGTATTTTTCCCTTTCTTCCAGTGCATTTCAATGAAAAGACTTTGTAGAGCTACAAGGTAGGCGATCTGATTTTAATTTTTTTTTTTTTTTACCTTCCCCAACAGCGGGGAGGATTTAAAAACAAAACAAAACAAAACCCCTTTTGCTGGTATGTGTGAGTGTGTCTAATGGATCAGGGCTTTTAATTTCTTCTAAAAATGTCCTTATGTCAGTGTGTGGCTGCTTGTTCAACTTGCTTACTTGAATATGCTGCTCCTTCAGACTTGCGTGGTAGATGCAGCCCTGCAGTTGTGGTGTATTTATGTAAAAAGCTCACTGGTAACTATTACTGTGGGGTTTTTTTTGTTTCAATTTTTTACTCTGTTGCAAAACTCTGTATTAAAACACAACAGTGGAAGGTGTATTAGCTGGCTGTGGCGTGGCAGTGAGTGTCAACTCTGTCACCTAAAACTGCAAGGTTTTACTGTCGTTGATGGCATAATGTAAAATACACCTTGGCTGACTTCAAAAGCGGAAATGGCAAAAAAGTGTCAGATGCTTTCCACTGACTTTTCAGTTGGAGAGTATCTGGGTGTAAATCTGACCGTTGTCTGCGTTTGATCATGTTAAGTCCAGTCATGGCTAAGTTGACTAATTACACGTCTGTCTTGTAACCAAGAGCAGTACTAATATCAAGTTGAAGCTTTAAAGACAGTTATGGTTTTAGCTTAATGATGACGGTGATTGATGCCCACATACTTGAGATAGGGAGTTTGTTCCAAACCTTAAGCTGTGAGTTGATATTCAAGAAATGAATTGGTGTTTTGCCATTGATGCAAACTACTGCAGCATTTGACTTGAAATGAATAATTTTATCTTGTTCAAGCTACAAATAGTTCCAAAAATACTTACAGTTGAAAGAGGAGATTTTACTCTTTTTTTTTTTTTTTTTGTATTTTATTTCATCATCTATCTTATTTTTTGTATTTTGGTATCTATTCCCTCCTTCATAAGAGGCAATTTAATGCCAGTTTTATGTTGCTTTTAGAATAGTTATTTTAGGCTTATCTTTTCATGTTCATGTCTTTGAACACAACATAAGGCAGCTCTCTGCTGTTTTTTTTGGGGAAGAGAGGCTCAGTAGCTACTCAGCAGGAAAGTACTAGTGCACTTGCATCACTCTTTCTAGTATACATGAAATTTGCCAGTGATTTTTGTTATACATTCTAGCTGTTACTGCACTTCGATCAGACTATATCTAATATGGTTATTTTTTCAAAGGCACAAAAAGGATAGAGAGAAATTTCTTAAATGTGTATGGGCCGTGGGAAAATGTGTGCGTTGTTTAATGGCAATTCAGGATCAAGATTTAGTTTAAATTATTAACTAGCATAATGATAAAAACTTTAAAAACTTTGAAAGTTGGCCCTCTAAACAAACAAACAAAAAAACCACCAGCAAAGCCAACAACAACAAAATGTTGCTTGTTTATTTTTCCTCCTTGTATGAAAAAGCTTTTTCAAGACTGAAAAATAGCTATTAATAGAACATGATTGTAATTTGTATTTAAATATAGTGGGCAGTCTGGAAAAAGATTTTTTTTTTTTTTTGCATATGTTCATAATGTCACAGTGAATATAAGGTCAGAATTGCATTCCTGGTATGTTTCCATGCAGGTTCTGCAGTTCATGTTCCAGATGTCTTAAATACTTTGACCTTGATTTTCAGTTGTTCCTGAAGAACTTAAAATTGTGTTGCCTTCTCTTTCTAATAAGAGGAATGTAATAAAATTAACTATGCACTTTTTCAGTCACAGATGAATTTGATATTGGTAATTGGCATAACTGAGAGTTTAAGTGAAAGCAGTATAAAAGAGTACAGAACTGGTCCCACTGCTGGATGCTTTGTAGTTCAAGTAGTGATTTAAATATTTGTCAGAAGAAGCCTTGGCAGAGTTGTTGACTAACTAATCCTTTTTGCTTTGCTTTTTAAGGTGTCTCCTGAATTCTCACTATGTCTGATGGGGACTATGATTACCTCATAAAATTTCTAGCACTTGGTGATTCTGGCGTAGGAAAGACCAGCCTTCTTTACCAATATACAGATGGCAAATTTAATTCCAAATTTATCACAACAGTGGGCATTGACTTTCGGGAAAAGAGAGTGGTGAGTTCTCACAGTGTGCTACTTTAAAATGGTATCTGTCTTGGTGATGGCTAGAATCTATTTTTAAAAAATCAGACCTGCCAATCCTTATGTGTAGGCTTGCAATCAGTAGTTACTGTGTAGTTAATCTTGTGACAAGGAACTGATCTCATTTTGCCTCGTTATTTTGGTCATTGTTGTGTGTTGTCCCCTCCATTTACCTCAAAGTTAAAGTAAGAAGAGCTGATTCTAAGCAACCACTTCTTACTGCTCAGGAAGTGATGAGTGTTATCTACTCCCCGAGTTCTGCACATAGTACCTGGAGTAGCACTTTTATTGCTGAACTCTCTTCGCAAGGAAGGATTGGGCTGTAGTAAAAATGTTTTTGCTGTTTGTGAACTGAAGTGCTAGTGAACAGAGACTGCAATGTTGATTTTAAAACTGTTTTAAAACTATGAATGAAATGGGGTAGCATGATACATGGAGCTGATCTGGCTTCCTAAGCAGTTTCCACTACCAGAGAAGAATTGTGAAAAATAAGGTAGGTTTTTTTTTTTTTAACCCCTGAATTGTTATTAAACTAGGCAAACGTACTTTTGATATGAAGCTGAGCACTGCATTATGATAACCAATTGGATGCTGGTCCTCACTGCACTGAGAAATTAAGTTGGCACAAGTTTTTTTTCATTCTTATGTAGAAGTATTAAATGCCTTTCAGTGTAGTCTGATGATTTCCCAAGTGTCCAGAAATCTGGATGGTATAATGGGCATTGTGCAGACTGGCTTTTGATGGATGTCATGTACCTCAGTAGTGCAAGGAGGAAATATCTCAGTGAAGTGTGAAACTGGTCTCTTGAATAAGTTAGTATTCCTTTTGTGGGAGAGTAAACGTGATGGGTTTACTCAGTCAGCATATTTGATAATTCAGGATAAGATTTAGGTTTCACAACTTGAATCATATAATCCACAAATTCAGCAAGTTTATGTGTCTCTAAAGATACGTTTGTAATTCTGTTAATCTTACGTACAACAATAGTTGAAGGTAAAGAAGATGACCTAACATGAAGTGTTCTAAACAAGAACTTAATCTATTTTTATCTGATCCTTCCAAAGTTAACAGATGCCCTTATTTATGTTTTCATGCTGAGTAAACTGTTCAGCTTTTATTATTATCATCCAATTTCTGCTTTTTAAGCTATGATGTAAGATCTACCCTAAGCTCTTTTTCAGCAATGTTTTGGCAGCTAAGAAGAGATGTCCGTATCTTTATGAGTATATTCTGTTTGCTAATGAGGTTCTGTTAGTGGTACAAATATGTTGCCAGATGGCATGATCTGGTCGTTGCTTTCTTATAATTATATTTCAATTTGAACACAATACAAGATAATAGCAGAAAAATAGAAAATCAAAATACTAAAAATTAAGCTTGTCTATTGAAACTTAATGGCTGCTCTAAATATCTGTTTGGAGTCCATAGTCTATTGGATACTGTTTTTCCAGTTTCACTTTTACCCTTATTTTTAAATATTCAATTGGATGCAAACTTAAATTACTTTTGTCTTGTCAAGCAGAGGGATTGAGTTGTAGTTGGGATCTTTGCATTGGCAATGCTACTTTTGGTGCATTTAATAATCTTAGATGTCAGTTATTTTGTGTTCTATAGAAGCTGGACTGCTAACACTCAGTCTTGGAAATTTACCTTTTACAGGTGTATAGACCCAATGGGCCAGATGGCGTTGGTGGCAGAGGACAGAGGATACATCTTCAGCTCTGGGATACTGCAGGGCAGGAAAGGTATGTTCCACCCCCCACCTAGCAAGTAAGGCAGTTGTCATCAAGCTAGACGCAAATGGAACCGAGTACATGAAGTCTCTTTATTGATTGATGCATTTTAATTGTATGACTCAAGATGGGAAAGTGCACTTATTTTAACAGCAATGGAAAGTTTCCTATGAATACGCATTAAATTACAACTGTAATTTACAACTGTAGAACATTAAAACTGTAATTGTTGCTTTTTGTCTTTTGGAAACTTCCAGTTTATTTTTTCATGGCCAATGCATATAGATGCTTTTAAAGCTTTTCTTTTTTCAGTTTTCCATAAATTTTTGTAAATATGTTGAGGTCTTGGCAAAGTCAGACAGGTGAAATCATCTCAAGGATTCCTTCCTATTTGTCTGTCAAAAGACTAGCATCCTAGTGATTGATAGTCTTAAAATCAAGAACTGATGTGTATAGGGGACAAATTTCTGTTCAAAGTTTGAATTTCATTTCTTATTTTAATGTCTGAATCTTGATCGAGTCATGCTTTATAGTAGAAGACTTTGTGTAAAGCTCTCACGCTCTAGTGAAATGTCTGCTAGACTTCCTTAGGCCTTGATTAGACTATAGTAATGTTAGCAATTCTTGTTATGCAGTCCCTACATCAGCAAAACAATTATGATGATTATTTCATTCTAGTTAATTCAGTCTTAAGTTACCTCAGTTTTATGACTGTATGCAATTATATTTTCAAAGTAACTTCTCAGATGAGCCAACTAATTTCATTTTGCTGGTCTAGGTTTCGTAGCTTGACAACGGCTTTCTTCAGAGATGCCATGGGGTTTCTTTTACTCTTTGATCTGACAAATGAGCAAAGCTTTCTGAATGTCAGGAACTGGATAAGTATGGCATTTCTTTCTTTTTTCTTTTTTCTTTCCTTCTTTGTATGGGCTATGTTTGTAAAGATGGAGTCTCACTGAGAAAGAGAACTGAAAATACTGTTTTTTATAGTTTTCTCAGTAAAAGAAAGTAAATGTTGCATTCAAAATTGTAATAGCTGCTAGTGGTGGCTTCTAGTGCTTACCTGAAATTCAGCTTTGCCTGTGGAACTTGAATCTTAACCCATATATATATAAAAGCAAGCTGAGAGAACATCATATCCCTGGCTCTGGTGATATTCAGTAATTTAAGTGTGCGGAAAGCCTATGCAAAACTCCAGTTTGACTCACCTGAAGCTTTGTCAGCAAAACTTAATGAAAGGCAAATGTTACTAGGCTGGTGTATCTAGCCGAAGGAGTTCCCAAACTGCATCATCCATGAGGAGAGGGAAGTATATCCTTTCCTGGCAGCTCACTGAAGATGCTTAGTGAGCATAACTCCTTAAGCTACAAATACACAGCTTCTGTGCAAACTGTATCAGGCTTCTGCTCCCCTGGCTTGTTCCCTGGCTTTCTCACTGCATACATGATAGTGGATGTTCACCTGTTATCTGGCTCCTCAGTGCAATAGCAGAAGTCCTGTGAGATAACAGAGAACATACTTGTTTTCTTTGTTTCAAAGAGTCATTTTCCTGAAGGACTTTGTGTCTCCTGAAATGTGGTAGTGTTCTTAGTGAGCTTTATGTGTGACAGTAAGTTGTGGCCTCTATTCATGTTGTTGCTGCTGTTAGGTCAGCTACAAATGCATGCATATTGTGAAAACCCTGACATTGTATTATGTGGAAACAAGAGTGATCTGGAAGACCAAAGAATGGTGAAAGAAGAAGAGGCTAAGGAACTTGCAGAAAAATACGGGTAAGTAACTTCCTTCCAGTTATTGCTGTGTTTAAAGCAGAGTGAAATATTTTCTGTAATGCCTTTTCTGTGTACTGAAAGGTTATTGTGAGAATAAGCATTTTAGAATGCTTAACTGGCCGGTGTATGATAATCTTTTTTTCTGTCAGAGATTATAATGTTTTGTGCACTGCCTAAAAATTCATACTTAGTATTGCACTAATCTTGCACTGGAAATTGGTTAATCTTCTTCTTTCCTTGCCAGTAAACTAAGTAAATTTTCACAAACATTCTGGAAAAGACATATTATATAGCTGGAGAGGCAGGTGAATGATGGGGGTCTAATTCTTTGCTCTTGCCTGTGCTGAGGCTCTCTATGGGGCACAGAAAACCCAGGTGTCTTACAAAGTGAAATCCAAAAGAGCATTTGGTGAGGTGATGAGTGTCACATCAGATTTCAGGGAAAACAGAAATAACACCATGCAATGATATTCTAATTTACAAGCTGAGTTGTTTTGCAAAAGTTTGTTGTAGGGTAGCTGTTGTCTCTGGCATTGCCATAGAAACATGTGGCCTCAGTTTCTTTAAAAGCCTCAGGACCCATTCACAAGAGTTGAGAGAGTCTGCTTACAGAGTGCTGGCTTTCCACAGAAGAGCAGTTCTGGTCCAGACCACAGTTCTGCAGTCTCTGCTCCCTCTCCATTCAGTCTTCCCTCAACTGTTCAAGCAATTTTGTTAGGACTGTACCTTAGGTCAATTCTTAGTGACTTTTCCTCAGAGGTGTCAGTCATGTTTTCTTGCAGGCATCTGCACTCTCACAGACATCCAGTGAGTCTGAAAACGGAGTCAGACCAGCAGGAAGACAGGGTAGCCTTGCCCTTCCCCTTCTCTACAGGCACAGATCATGTGTCCCTAAAGGAGCTATGTGAAATCTTTGTTCCTATCAGATACTAATTAATCCCATAGTACTCTTATATCCCATTAACTCTCCCATGGGTCTCATCTCTGGATTACATTTGCATTTCAGTGTGGATTAGAAGTGCACTTTTGAAGCAAACCTTCTGATCCATTTATTGTGAGTGGAGCAGCTTTTTAGCGTGTGAACAGGATTCCTTCTCAATTGAAAACTAAACTAGACAATGTGCTCCAACCAGTAATCTGTGTTCAGTCCAGAGGAATAGATTAGAGCTGGTCCAAAGTAAAGCCTGCAAAACATGCATAGTGTGAACACTCAGTCCTCAGTGCTAACTGCCTTGTTCTGCAGGTCTAGTCTTGTTGTGCCATGCTGTTTCCTATCACGCAGTCACAAATTAGCTTTCCTTGACCTTGAAGAATCATTGGAGGCAAATCAGAAGCAATCTGTCTATTAGAGACAAATGGATTTAGTGCAATATTACCTTCCTACTTTTTCCTTCTTTGAAAATGCTTGTTTGAAGTCCGTGTCACACACACAACAGCAAGTACATATTAACAAGCTGCTTGTGGAGGAGCAAAAACTTTCAAACAGCAGCATATGGCATGTGGCCATTTCTTAAAGATTTGAAAGAGATCTCTTTGCATGTGACTTCCAAAAATAATTTATGAAATGCTTATCTTTGTGGCTGAAAATGCCACTTAATTTAGGAATAGGGAGCTAAAAGTCAAAGTTACAGGTCACATCCAATCTGTAGGCAGTTACAAAGTTCTCTGCCCTGTAGAGATGAGACAGGATAGATGCTAAGAGTCACTTACTCCTGAGGGGAAGCAAGATAAATCCTGCTGCAGTGAACAGTCTTCTGCTAACAAAAGTGTGAGATAGTGAATATCCTCTTTCTGTGGAAAGGCCTTGTAGTGGTAAGTGATGTATTTTGAAGATGATTGTACGAGACCTACACACTGAGACAGTAAGATAGTATTTTTGACGACTCATTGAATCTTGCAAATTAAGTAAGAAATACTTAAAATTATGAAGTGATTATATCAGTCACTTGGGGAGTAACACTAATGTAGCCGCTCTGGCACCACCCTGTGGGAAGTGCTGAGCGCAGAAGGTCAAAGCCTACAGACCTGCCATGGAAACACCCTGATCCACAACAATAATGAAAACTAGTGATGTATTTTCAATACCAAGGTGCCCAGAAACTTTTGTTAACAGAGACATAGGTGGTCTGAGGACTGAGATTTTTTATTTTTTAATGTAAAAGAGTTTATAGCTGAAGTGTCAACAGAAGAAACAGTCACCTTTCGTAGTGATAAGAGTACCACATTAGGAGTCTTTACTGCCTTGTCTGCAGTCCATACTTGCGCTCCCTCTCTTGCAATGACTCCCTAGCTGATGTAGATAGAAATCAGTAAGGAGAACACTTAAGCACACAAGGCCATATAAAGTAATTGCATCTCTTGTTGGGAACAGAGCTGAAAAAAACAGACCTCAGGAGCATAACTTTGGGAACTCGTACTGACCAGTGCCTCTGTAAATTGTGGACTCCATTATGTCAATTAAAGCTTATCCTTCTGCCATACCTACAGAGTCAGCCATTTCATTAATTTCTTTTACATTTCAGTTTACTGATGACTTAGTGTCTTTCTGCTACGGAGTCACATTAACAGCATTTGTGTGATTTCTAAGTATATGGCATTAATCATGTATTGTTTTTTGTCCTATGAATATAAACCGTGATGTGAGTTTGTGGTTTTTTTGTCTCCTGCAGAATACCGTATTTTGAAACTAGTGCAGCTAATGGGAATAATGTAAGCAAAGCCATTGAAACTCTGCTTGACCTCATTATGAAGCGCATGGAACGGTGTGTGGATAAATCCTGGATCCCAGAAGGGGTAGTGCGCTCCAATGGGCACAGCTCTACAGAACAACTGAATGAGGAGCAAGAAAAAGGCAAATGTGGCTGTTAACTCAGTTACAACTATGTTTAACATATACGATAAAGTATGATAAAGTTGCAGCTTAACTGTTTAACTTATGGACAAATCACACTGTAGTTATTTAATGAGCTATATTAATTCTTTATATTAATTTTTGGTTTTTTCCTCTCAAACAACATTGACCTTTGCTTGCAAGGTATGCAGTTTATTAGTGGTGGGACAGAAGATTAATTTGGTGTAGCACTGGATATTCCTCTAATTCTCTACTTTGGAGGGAAGGAGAGGAATTTTCATTACCAAATTTAGAAACATCTCTCTGTGTGGGCAATGAGAAAGGGTAGGCTTCTGAACTGAAGGTTTTTCAATTGCCCTTTGAAGGCTCCATTAACTACACAGACTAGGCATTTAGATTAGATATTGTGACAGCTTTTAGTCTCTACTAACAGCAAGCTTACCAACGTGGTTCTTGGTTTTCAACAGAAACATTTAATCATTTCATCAATCAATAACACTCTTAAAGAGCAAATCCTGTGTTTTCCACAAAAGCCTGCAAGTAGCTTTTCCTTGCTCTCTCAAACCATTGGTTTTTAGTGATGAAAACCAAAAGAAAGCTATTGTATATAGAATAAAAAACTACAGAGAAGCACAGGGGTACATATGTAGAGCACTTTGGGTATGTCATGAAATTGAACGTGTAAACTACAACCGTACTATATAAAATATATCCAACACAGGCTATGAGACCTCCTGACATCATTTGAATGTCTAGAACATGAATTTACATGTACTTATATTTAAATGGCATAACTGTACATCTGTTGTTATGTTTCTTTTACGTTACCATTTTAACAGGAACATAGGGCAACCTAGATGTCAGCAAAATTTCATCGGAGTTAGTGCTTCACACTGAATTTGTTTTATCAAACACAGATTTGGAATGTTTCTTTAAATTTGGATTGAAAAATGAATGATGATTGTCTTCTGGTGAGATACAGCTAAGACACCAGTTCTGTCTAGATCAGTATTTCTATAAATTTATAATGCTCATTGTATTCTGCCAACTTTTGTGTCCTGTACATCTTGGTTATCATATATTCATTTATGGCTTGTTCACTTCCTTTAGGTTGTATTTAAAAAAGAATGGAGTTGCTTTTCTTTTTCCCCCTCTACGGATCACATAAACGTCAATTTTTGTTTCAGTGGATCATGTTACTCTTTGATCATTTTTATTTATTCATACAACCTAAGGAACAATCAGTATTTTTTGGGTCTTTTTTCCAGACTGATTTATAAGATGTGCCTACCAAACTGTTTTCTACCCTGGCAGAGGTTGTATAACTGTAAAGTATTGCCAATTAAAGTCATAACATGCCAAATTGAGTCTTGTTACAGACTTCCCACAGCAGTTTGTTTACAAAACTCCAAAGCTATTACTTCTTTAGAAATTATGTATTTATTTATGTAAATATTCTAACTACTGCAATTTCAGGCAAGCATTGATACCAGTTGTGAATGTGAATTGCAGCATAACAAATTTTTTGAAGGACCAAAAATGTTTCTAGAATAGGAGCTAATAAAAAAACCCCCAACATATATATTTGATGTAGCCTCTGGTTATATTAATAATACAAGAATAAGTGTTAAAACTTGATTCTTAAAATATTTTACAAAGTAATGCATTGTTCTTTAACAAACACAACATGTAAATATTAGATTTTTATCACAGCCTACACAGAATATTTTTAAAGTGCAATATAATTTCACTGCTCTGGGGCTAGGACGGAGATTAAAGCAATTTACATTGAGTAAATATAGGTTTTTTTTCCTACTATACAATACCAAGATTCTAAAATGCTTGTGGACCAGAGTTACTGTAGTTTAACTCAGAGTGCCTTTTGAAGTTACCATCATGTTTCTGACCAGTAAAGTATCAAACTGTACTGTAGGACACAATACATTTCAATGTACTTCAGTGTCTGAATTTCTTTTAATGTAACTCTTTGCTTTTCAGAGGGTTGCAGTGGAACTTTGTCATGTATTAACTTTAATGGGAGTTTTTGTGCTTATAGCTCCATCCAGTTCCTGAAAACGTTAAGGATTATTGCAACTAACTACTGAGCTAAGTGACTACTGAAATGCTGTAAAAATATTTCCTTTTAAATACTTATGTTTAGATTGGATATTAAATACTGAAACTGTCATATTTTTGTCATGCATATTATATGTAACTATTTACTGTATAAAGAGAGTCTACATAAAATTGCTTTGATATCAGCCTTTGAAATCTGCCGTAAGATTTATCTGTTTGAATTATTCTGTGACAAAACTTTTGATCCCTTTTTAACTCTCATGAGAAATCATGGTAAATATTTCTTGACAATGAATTACACTATCCTTATTAGTCTAGTACTGGTTTTAAAAAACAACCAACCAAAGAAGAATGCTCATGTGATGAGAAACTGTTATTTCAAGAAAAGTTGTTTCCATCCAGTGTCAGACGAAAATGTTGATCTGTAACGGAACAAAGTTTTGGAAAGGATTTCCATTATGATGCTTCATCCCAGGATTTCTTATTAATATAAAATAGTTAAACATTCCTGATCTGAACCTTGTCAGCATTTGTTGAACTGAATTGTAACATTTCCTGTTGTCTCATTTCAATATCAGTCTGTGCCTTTCTGCACTGCCCCTATGCATTGTGGTTTTTTTAGTTCAAATGCATCTTAAGTTCTCTTCTGTGGCCTATGTCCCTCTTGATGTTCCTGTCTTGCACTGACCGAACCAGTCGGAATGGGGCTTGATGCATCCTGGGTGATGCCAGAAGGAGCTCAAACCCATAGAAGAAAATAGAGGCAACACTTCTGTATTCGTAAGACATTCAGAAAGCTGCTAACGTGAGCATGTAGCATGTTCAGACCAAAGGGAATCAAGCAATACATTTTGTAAAATCTATTGCTTCTACAAAGGTAAGGAGCTTGTTTTTTCAGAATAGCTGCTTCCATCAAGAGCAGTGTAGATTATCAGGTAGGTTATGATATGCTGGAGGACACAGCTGCTATTCAGATGTTCCTTGACAGGCAAGAGAAATGAGCTGAACTAAACCTTATTAAGTTCACCAAGGGCAAGTGTGACTGGGTATTCCATCCGGGTTGGAATAACCCCATGCAGTAGTACTGGCTGAAAAAACATTTTTGCAGAAAAGGGGATAGGCATCCTCTTCAAAAGCAGGTTGACCAGGAGCTAGAAGTGTGCCCTTGCGGGAAAGGCGGCCAACTGCATCTGGGGCTGCATTAGTAAAATGAAGCTAACAGGTTGAGAAAGTAAGTCTTCCTTTATATTCAGTAATTATAAGACCGCATCTGGAGTTCTGTGTCCTGTTTTGGATACCCCAGTAGAAGAACGACATTGACACACTGGAGTGAGTCTAGCAGATGCCACTAAGATCAGAGGGCTGGAGCACAAGGGGTAGGAGGAGAGAGAACTGTGTTTGCTTAGCTTTAAGAAGAGAAAGCTAAGGGAGACCTTTCTGCTGTCTTGAACTATCTAGTGGGAGGTTATACAGAAGATGGAACCAGACCCATCTCAGAGAGCACAGCAATAGGAAAGAGGCAACAGGGAAAAGTTGGTGCTTAGGAAATTCTGATTAGACATTAGGAAAAAAATGTCATCATACAAGTGGTCAGAAATTGGAACAGGAGCTGAGGAAGTTTATGGAACCGCCATCCTTGAAGACACTAAAAACTCAACTCTCTATGGCCCTGAGCCATCTGGTGTTAATTTGTCCTGCTTTGAGCAGGAGTTGGGTCTAGATGACCTCAAGAAGTGTCTTCCACCTGACATGATTATATGCTCAGTGAACCTGATCCTCCAAGTGCACATGCCTGACAGTTGTCAGTTCTTTTATATGACTGTATATGACAGTTCTTTTACTTCTATTAGGAAAGTTGTACAAGTATGTAAATATTTGCAGACCAAAGCTTTGCTATGAGTTTAAGGTATTGAGTTGAGATGTTTGGTGAAACAATTCTTGCTGTGGTAATCTGTGTCAAAACTCAGTCAAATGAGCCACTCACTTTGCTGTAAAACCTCTTCTTCCAGCGAGGCTGTTTTTCAGCTGGATACCTAATTCTGTCTGTGAATAACTGTTAATGGAGTAGAAGTCCATATTCTTTTTTTATAATTAGTCTGGATTCTGGCTCCAGCAACCTTCAATCTATATTGCCTTTTAGATCAGGAATAAGCACTTCAAAATCCACAACATAATGGCTTGTAGTTGAAGAGGAGATTAGCGCCTTGATATGAAAAAAGGAGGGACGGGGAAATCCGATTGTAAGTGCTTGTAGTATCACTGTGCTCTCACATCCCATCTGTCTGCTGGAGGCATTGGTGACAGTCTGTAATCCACAGTGTTTAAATTGTAGAAGCCACCAAAGACTTCACAATACAGTAGTCTGCCAGGAAAAAGCTGTCTTAAGTGAAATACAGCCCATGGGGAATAAGTCACGTGGGCAGGAAACTCCAAGTAACCAAACTGAAAAAGAAGGATTGCGATTGCATATGCCAAAGTACAGTAGCCCTAGACCTAAGCAACCTTGTTTACTATTTGGTTTTGCCTCTAGCTGTAAACTTGGTGTCTTCCTAGCTTCCCTCATAAAATTGCTTTGTGTATGTGTCTCTAGTCTTTCCTCTTATTGTCTGGGTTGCCATCTTCTGTCACAGCCACAGAGCCTTCCCTCTGGCATGCAGCATGAGAATAACTAATATCCTGTACAGTCCTATCTTGTTCTCTGTCTCTGAGTCAGTTCAGAGCTGTTGTTCCTTAGGGCTGGGGGTGAGTACTAGTCACCAGTCATATGCTCTAGCCTGTGTCTCCTGCAATAGGATGTGGCTGAGGTCTGGTTTCTAAAAAGATTGGAGACAAGTTCTGTGCTGATAAAAGGTTAGTGACTCTACTGTGCTAAAGCAATGTTTTTTCTTCCTTCCATCTTTCTTAATACAGCCCCAAGCTGACTGCCTTTTTTGTTGTTCTAGAAAACAGAAAGCAAAAACTGCCCTAAAGGCACATGCAATTCAACACATGGATTCTTCGCCAAATAGATAGTTAATTTCTTTTAAATGGAGAAGCAGGAATTGTGGTGGTAAAGCCTTACGTGGGGAGGGAAGATTTCAGACTCTTGAGCTGGGATGGCAATCTAAGATTGAAGAACACAGAGAAGACCCTCTCCAATTCCAAACAATTTAGGAAGGTACAGGACCTAGCATTTAGGTCCTTTCCCAATAAACAGGTAACTCTGTAGGAGGGGGAACAGAAGGAGTAATGGGTTCCTTAGAATAATGCACGCAGAGCCATCGGTTTTAGACAGTACTTCAAATTTTGCTTTAAAAATTAATTCCCCTGTAGAAGACTTGGATCTTACAAATACGGAAATGGAGCAGAAAGTGATTTGCCTGAATTCTAGAGTAAATCAGATGTAGATTTAAAAATCTATGTCTGACTCCCTTTCCTTTCCTTGGGTTACTCTCTCTATCCTTATGTTAATACTGAGCAACTTCAGCTTCATTCATTTTTCACACTTGGAACAAAATTTTGCATCTATAATGAGAGGGGATCAAACACAAGCTGATAGCAAAATCTTTTAATTTGTATTTGATTTCCATACTAAGATATGAATGTATGTTTCAGGGAAGTAGAGAGTCATTTGGGAAAGCGGAAAGTCAGCTTACTTTTGAAGATGCAGTATTGTCTAATAGTTCATCCCAACTTCATTGCTGTGTATAGGTTGGGTTTTTGTTTGGTTGGGTTTTTTTTAATACTTCCGTGAGCACAAGTATCTCTCGGCTATCAACAGGATTCTCTCTGGTGAAGTCAAGGGATGGACCGTGCTCTTCATGTAATGGATTACAGTTAGCATGCATGTGGCTGGTGTGTATATCCAGTGAGTGAATGTAGTGTGTTTGTGGTTATTAGCTTATTACTGCTTTTGTAGATAAGTCTTCTCACCCTTTTCCCCCCAGTAACCTGTTTGTGTAATGATTTAGAAATTATGGCTCCAATCGGCCAATAAATGGAGCTTTCTTATAGCTTCAAAGAAAGCACAGCAATGAGAACTTCCACACAAACTATAGTCTCAGCATTGTTCATGTGGTGGCCTTGTGGCCCAGTTTCTCATTTTTGGAACAATAATCTCTTCCACATTTTATATATGACTGATCTGTTTTATTTTTATTAAGAGATCTTGCTAAGACATATAATAAGTCTCATGGTCCTCCTTGTATTTCACGACAGTTAAAGCCTGCTGAAGAAGACTAATTTGAGAAGCTTATGCTACTCTACTAGGGTTAAAACCAAACCAAAATCCCTGAATTAAAAAATGACACATTCTTCCAGAATCCTTGGGAGGGAAAGTGTTTGTTTTGGTGAGGTGAAGGGTCAGTCCTATGTTGTGCTGTAAAGGGGTTTATGTCCCAACAGCGCGGTCCTTCCCGTTTCCCATTCAGTCTGGCAGAGACCACATCAGAAGCAGTAGCTATGTCTGGTCTCCTCACCCCTGCTCAGCAAAAGGAGCTCTTTGTTTTTGAGGTAGGCTTTATGGGATCCGATTTACAGGACTCCTGGGGGGTATCACTTTATTTTGGGTTGCTGGCCCCTTCACAGGGTAGGTCGCTCAGACGACAGAGGAGCATTGCAGCTCTTGTCTTGCAAAGCTGTTCCCTTGTGGGTGCGAGGAGAGACTTCCACGGCCCCCGCTGGGACTGAAAGTGCCGTTTTCCAGCGAGCAGCTTGTGAAGAGATACGGCACTGGCGCGTTGTACCTCTTGGCGCAAGGCGAGCTGTTTGGGGCCCTGCGGCTGGGCTGGCCGCATCACCAAGTAGCCGGAGTGAGTACAGATGGATATAACGCCCAGTATGGTGCTGGCTCAACAGCGATACGAGGCGAAACGACCTGGCGGCTCTGTGGCGGGTTGCGCGGTGCCAAGCCGGGGAAGCGGTTCACGGCCGTCACCGCCTGCCTCACGGCTGGCTGTCGCTCCTGCCGGGCTGGCTCGGCCGCAAACCCAGAGCGAGCGCTCGCTTGTTTCCAGCCCGGTGCCCGCGTCGGGGCTCTTAAGAGCTCCGGATCAGCAGCGGC